ATTTGCTGATATATTGAGTACAGTATTTTATCAACACCGTCTTTTAGCAACTTTAACAGCTAAGCTGGAATTTCATCACCTCCACTAGCATTATTTTTAGTAATGTTTCCTAAGGCCCACTTGACTTTGCACTCCAGGATGTCAGGCTCTAGGTCAGTGACCACACCATCGTGGTTATCTGCATCACTAAGACCTTTTCTGTATATAATTCTTCTGTGTAGTCAGGCCACCTCTTTTTAATCTTTTACTTAAGTATGAGCAAAAAGCCAAGAAACACCAGATATCCAAAGAAAGCCTCCATTATAAAATTAAAAGCCCTAAAGTCAAGGACTGTGATAGGGTACTCAGAATAAAAGGAGACAATGAATGCAAACAGCAGCAAAAATTTGGGGAAAAAAAAACAAACAACACAATAATTTTATTTTCATAACAAAGCTACATCCACAAGAGAATTATAGGATGTTATAAAAAAGTAACCATCCAAGAAAAAGCTTTTAAGGAAAAAAAAAATGTTGACAGTTGAGAGATAAAGTTGGGGAAATCATCCAGAAATTACAACAAAAATATAAGAGATAGAAAAAAAAAGAGGGAAAGGGGATTTATGAGTATCGGTTCAGAATGTTCAGTATCTACCTAATAGTTCCAGAAAGAGAGAAGACAAAGAGAAATAAAGAAAAAATTTCTCAACTGGAAATGAAAATTTGCAGATGAAACACTTTACCTCAGATACAGAAGAAGACCCCTACATCATCACGAATTTTTAGAAAGGAAAAAACAGAGCAACAACAAATAGGGACAGAGATCCTAAAGCTTACAAAGAATATATATAAAAAAGCAAGAGTCCACAAAGCAATACTCCAAGCTGACCATGATAATGAATTAATGTCTTCACAATTCTGAAGGAAAACTTACGAAGATTTTCCAGTATAGAATTCTGTATTCAATCAAACTATGAATCATCCCTTTAAATGACATATATCACATTCAAGTTCTCAAACAACTTAGTAGCAAACAGTCTTTTCCAGGAAGGCTAGTAGGAATATGTTCTGCCAAAACAAAGGCATAAATCAAGAAGCAAGATGACATGAAGCAGAAGACATTAAGAAGAGGTGGCAAGAATACACAGAAGATACACATACAATAAAGATACACATACAAAAAATAAATACATACACATACAAGAAATACACATACAAAAAAAGATCTTAATGACCTGGATAACTGCGATGGTGTGATCACTCACCTAGAGCCAGACATCCTGGAGTGTGAAGTCAAGTGGGCCTTAGGAGGCATCACTAAAAACAAGGCTAGTGGAGTTGAGGAATTCCAGCTGAGCTATTTCAAGTCCTAAAACATGATGATGTTAAAGTGCTGCACTCAATATGCCAGCAAATTTGGAAACTCAGCAATGGCCACAGAACTGGAAAAGGTCAGTTTTCATTCCAATCCCAAAGAAGGGCAATGCCAAAGAATGCTCAAGCTACCACACAATTGCACTCATTTCACATGCTAGCAAGGTCATGCTCCAAACCCTCCAAGCTAGGCTTAAACAGTATGTGAACAACCAAGAACTTCCAGATGTACAAGCTGGATTTAGAAAAGGCAGAGAGGAACCAGAGATCAAATTGCCAACATCTGCTGGATCATCAAAAAAGCAAGAGAATTCCAGAAAAACATCTACTTTGCTTCACTGACTAGGCTAAAGCCTTTGACTGTGTGGATCACAACAAACTATGGAAAATTCTTCAAGAGATGGGAATACCAGACCACCGTACCTGGCTCCTGAGAAACCTGTATGCAGGTCAAGGAGCAACAGTTAGACCAGACATGAACAACAAACTGATTCCAAATTGGGAAGGAGTATGTCAAGGCTGTATATTGTCACCCTGCTTATTTAACTTATATACATAGTACATCATGCAAAATGCCAGGCTGGATGAAGCATGAACTAGAATCAAGATTGCTCAGAGAAATATCAATAATCTCAGATATGCTGATGACAACACCCTTATGGTAGAAAGCGAAGAGGACTAAAGAGCCTCTTGATGAAAGTGAAAGAGTGAATAAGCTGACTTAAAACTCAACATTCAGAAAACTAAGATCATGGCATCTGGTCCTATCACTTTATGGCAAATAGACAGGACAACAGTGGAAACAGTAAAAGACTATTTTCTTGGGCTCCAAAATCACTGTGGGATGGCAACTGCCGCCAGATGTTTGCTCCTTGGAAGAAAAGCCATGACAAACCTAGAGAGTGTATTAAAAAGCAGAGACATTACTTTGTGGACAAAGGTCCATCTAGTCAAAGCTATGGTTTCTCCAGTAGTCATATATGGATGTGCGAGCTGGACCATAAAGAATGCTGAGCACAGAATTGATGCTTTCGAACTGTAGTAATAGAGGAGACTCCTGAGAGTCCTGTGAACTGCAAAGAGATCAAATCAGTCAATCCTAAAGGAAACCAACCCTGAATATTCATTGGATGAATATTCATTCAGCTGAAGCTGAAGCTCCAATACTTTGGCCACCTAATGCGAAGAGCCGACTCATTTGAAAAGACCCTGATGCTGGGAAAGATAGAAGGCAGGAGGAGAAGGGGATGACAAAAGAAGAGATGGCTGGATGGCATCACTGACTCAATGCACATGAGTTTAAGCAAGCTCCAGGAGATGGTGAAGGACAGGTCCATGGGGTCGCAGAGTGTCAGACATGACTAAGCAACTGAACAACAACAAGATGACGTGGGCCCAGGAGACAGAACAGAGGAGAGACATGAAAAGAATTCCCAGCAAGAAAATAAGAACAAATTCCAGGACCTGAGCAAACACAATAGAGTCCAGCATTGGAGAATGGAAATAAATGCTGCCAAGAAACTGGTTTTATATTTGGCCATTTGAGAATGTTTACATTTATGATTTGCTGGGTATCTGTCAGCGAATTAGTGATAGGTGTGTAGAAACCTAAGCAAAAGAAAGAAAACAAACACAAACAAACCCTGAGACTTTACTAAAAATTAAAGAAAATCAAAGAAAGGAAATGTAATCATAGCATAATCTGTGACTAGGCTGTTGTTAGTATTTATATAATCATAATGATACAAACAGTGAATCTTAATTTAAATGAAACTGAAATATAATTATATTGGGAGAATGAAAGGAAAGATGATGGTTTAAATAGCTATGTCCTTGTCATCTTTCACTATAAAGTCAATAGGTAATAATGCAGCCTTTTTTAAACCCGTGGTCCTAATGTGATCCATAGAATTCAGAAAATGATGAGTGACTATTTGCTCAATTTTTTCAAAGAAAGCACATAGCTAGTACTGTTCTAGACACACAGGAGTATAGTTAATTCACTATACAAACGGGGTGCTGTAGGGCATTATGACTTGATTTTCTCACAGAATCCCAACTGAAAAAGAGAGAGACCAAAGAAGAATAGCACATGAAGATGTGATTTAGATACCTGAAGATAAATACGCAAAGCAACATGAGAGGTGATAAGAGATATCCTCTTGAGAATGGGAATGAAGGGTCAGTAGGGGCAAGGGGCTACTACTGCCTTTCATATTTTGTATTACCATTTGACCTTAATACTGCATACATACATTGAAAAAAAAAGTGTGAGTTGCTCAATAGTGTTCAATTCTTTGCAATCCAATGGACTATAGCCTGCCAGGCTACACTGTCCATGGAATTCTCCAGGCAAGAATACTGGAATGGGTAGCCATTCCCTTCTCCAGGGGATCTTCCCGACCCAGGGTCTGAACCCAGGTCTCCTGCACTGCAGAAAGATTTACCATCTGAGCAACCAGGGAAGTATTTTGTTATTACCATTTACCTTAATATTGTATACATGCTTTATTCTAATAAAAATATGTTTTTGATTTTTAAAAAGAGGCTCAAAATGATAAGTGGGCACAAGTATTAATAAGTAGGTTTAGGAGAGGATGGAAAAGCAAATTTCACTTTTTATATGCTGCATCATTTAATTTCTTAAATAAACAATAAAGAAAAAAGTATTTCAATAGGGCACAGCCTTTGAAATCAAAGTCTTAGACTGAATGCTAGTTCCACCTCTTGTTAGTCTGGACAAAATAGTACACAACTCTGAGCTTCTTTATATGTGAAGGGAAGGACATCTGTCTCGTAAAGTTACAATAAAGATAAAATTATATGATGGTAACAATAATGTTAGCTAACCTTTATTGAACTGGGCACTCTGTCAATGATTTAACATATATTGATTCATTTACTCCTTACAATCATCTAAGGTATTATCATAATCTCTTTCATGGATGTAGAAACTTACCTCAGATTCAAATCCAGGTCAGGATTAGAATGCATATAGTCTTATCCTAGGGTTCCCCTGATAGCTCAGAAGGTAAAAAAATCCACCTGCAATATGGGAGACCTGGGTTTGATCCCTGGGTTGGGAAGATCCCCTAGAGAAGGGAACAGCCACCCACTCCAGTATTCTGGCCTGGAGAATTCCAATTCAGACGACCTTCATTAAAATGATACATAACCATTCTCCTCTAATCACTAAACAGCCTCCCCATGTAAAATAATACTAAAATGAGACTAATTTCTTGCAGTAATGAAACCATTACAGTTTTGAAGGGAATACATTCTCTTCTTCCTGATTTGGAAGAAGGAATAGGTTTTTTCAAATTATACTTTCCCCACTTTTGCTTTTATGTTTTCCCAAGTTCCGCAAACCATGGAATATTCCTATATGGAATACTCCTTCACTGTCTTTTTTCCCCATCCTTCTGCATGCTTCTAGTCCCTGATGCTAAAAAGGTAACAGTTCACAGAACATGAAAATTATGTACAAGGTCTAGCTTCAAAAAGAGAAAACATAAATATAAAATCAACATTTCTTCAGCAAAACATCTGAATGCACTTTATCTGGTCAGAGACTGGGGAACAGCAATGTGCTTAGGGGAGATGGGAAAAGGGAAGAAGTAAGATATCCCAATTAGACTTGAACAGTACCTTGAGCCTTTATATCCACTGAGATCTTTGTCCATATCCAACTCAGGAGTGGATTCAATGATTGCCTGAACTTCTGACTTCTCTTCATTTTCAGCAGAACCTTAGAAAAGGACAAGATAACAAAAATAACACATATAACACATACAGCCCCTGATATGAAAATTGTTTCTACGGTTGCAAATAAATCATTTGATCATAAAAATTTTTAGAGAGCTGAGAAACACAAGGTTAGACAGACAATAGGTCATATATTCAACTAACAGTCAATATGGAAATTAAAAAAAAAACAATGAAAGTTTTCATTTGTGTTACTTTGGACACAATGCACTGTACACCAGGCCAGAACTCAGTATTTTCATTTTAATTAAGGGATGAAATACAGAGAGATTAAGGACAGAGACTAATGACCTATGGCAGGGAACAGATAAAGAATGTCTTCCTGCCTTTCAGGCTCTCCAAACCCCAGCCACTCTTTACCCATGCCATTTTTACTCTCTAAAACTTAACTTTTAATCATCACGTATTTTAAGCTTATTTACAATTGAGTACAATTTTATGAATCTACAGCAGCAACACCCCCCAAAGATGTACCTTCTCACATTTGCATCATTTGGATTTACTGAATACTTTGCCAGTATAGAAAAAACTAAGGTTACTTACCTGTTGATATGTTTCTAGTTTCTTGGACTACTTGTACTTCAATATGCTTGCTTATCTCTGACTTATCTGGTGTATCTGCAACCTTCACAATTCCTTCATTCTCCTCATGTAAGGGAGTATCGATAGGTATAGCTGCCACATCTGAAGCAGTTGTTGACGCTGGAGTGGTAGCTTTAGATCCTCCCTGGCTAACATCAGAAAGTTCATCCTACAAATATAATTAGGGAAAACATTTTGATGAGTAATTTATTTAAATGGTCTTTTAAATAGGTAAAGAAACTTGAAAGAAAATTCTGTTAAAAACCAGTAAGTCACTTATTACCAAAAGTAATCAAATAATCTTTGTAGCTTGTTTTCAAGTAACTGGGTAATAGTTAAGTAATAATATTTTTCCAGACATACGTGATATTCTTCTAAATAGAAAAAGTAAAGATAAAGGAGGACTGGCAGTATTATCAATAAAAGTATATACACTAATGTCATCATCAGAGTTTATAATGGCAGTCCCAATTTGCACAATCATTTGATAATGAAGACTCGTCTCAAAACACTTAAAGATGTACTATGTGGTGGTGGTTGTTACTCTTCAGTAGCTCAGTCATGTCCAGCTCTTTGTGAACCAATGGACTGCAGCACTCCAGGCTTCCCTATCCTTCACTATCTCCCAGAGCTTGCTCAAATTCATGTCCATTAAGTTGGTGATGCTATCTAACCATCTCATCCTCCGTCGCCCTCTTCTCCCTGCCCTCAATCTTTCCCAGCATCAGGGTCTTTTCCAATGAGTCAGCTCTTAGAATCGGGAGGCTAAAGTACTGAAGCTCCAGCTTCAGCATCAGTCCTTCCAATGAATACTCAGGGCTCATTTCCTTCAGATTGCCTGGTTTGATCTCCTTGCAGTCCAAGAGACTCTAAAGAGTCTTCTTTAGCACAATTGGAAAGCATCAATTCATCTTCATACTCAGCCTTCTTTATGGTCCAACTTTATGGTCACACCTGTACATGACTACTAGAAAAACCGTAGCTTTGACTAATCGGACCTTTGTTGGCAAAGTGGTATCTCTACTATTGAATACGCTGTCTAGGCTTGTAGAGCAACTGTCTTCTAATTTCATGGCTGCAGTCACCGTCCACACTGATTCTGAAGCCCAAGAAAATAAAATCTGTGACTGCTTCCACTTCTTCCCTTTCTATTTGCCATAGTGATGGGACCAGATGCCATGATCTTAGATTTTTGAATGTTGAGTTTTAAGCCAGCTCTTTAGTTCCTCTTCACTTTCTGCCATTAGAGTGGTATCATCTGCATATCTGAAGTTGTTTATATTTCTTGATTCTAGCTTCTGTTTCCTCCTGCCCAGCATTTTACATGATGTACTCTGCATGTAAGTTAAATAAGCAGAGTGACAATATTTGAACAATTGGTTGTTCCCAATTTTGAGCCAGTCAGTTGTTCCATATCTGGTTCTAACTGTTCCTTCTTGACCCATATAGAGGTTTCTCAGGAGGCAGGTAATGTAGTCTGGTACTCCTATCAGTAGAATTCTCCACAGCTGTGATCCACACAGTCAAAAGCTTTAGCTTAGTCAGTGAAGCAGAAGTAGATGTTTTTCTGGAACTCCCTTGCTTTCTCCATGATCCAACAAATATGAGCAATTTGATCTCTGGTACTTCTCCCTCTTGGAAATGCAGCTTGTACATTTGGAAGTTCTTGGTTCAAGTACTACTGAAGCCTAGCTTTAAAGATTTTGAGCATAACTTTGCTAGTATGTGAAATGAGCCCAATTGTGTGGTAGTTATGCAGATAACACCACCCTAATGGCAGAAAACAAAGAGGAATTAAAGAGCCTCTTGATGAAGGTGAAAGACCAGAGTGAAAAAGCTGGCTTAAAACCCAGCATTCAAAAAACTAAGCTCATGGCATCCAGTCCCATCACTTCATGACAAATAGATAGGGGAGAAAATGGCAACAGTGACAGACTTTATTTTCTTGGGCTCAAAAAATCACTGTGGGACTGACACCGCAGTCATGAAATTAAAAGATGCTTGCTCCTTGGAAGAAAAGTTATGACAAACCTAGACAGCATATTAAAACGCAGTCATCACTTTGCCAACAAAGGTCTGTATGGTCAAAGCTATGGTTTTTCCAGCAGTCATGTATGGATGTGAGAGTTGGGACCATAAAGAAGGCTGATGCCAAAGAACTGACACTTTCAAACCGGGGTGCTGGAGAAGACTGTTGAGAGTCCCTTGGACTGCAAGGAAATCAAACCAGTCAATCCTAAAGGAAATCAACCCTGAATATTCAGTGGAAGCACAGATGCAGAAGCTGAAGTGCCAATATTTTGGCCACATGATGCAAAGAACCAACGCATTGGAAAAGATTCTGATGCTGGGAAAGACTGAGGGCAGGAAGAGAAGGGGGCATCCGAGTATGAGATGGCTGCATGCCATCACTGACTCCACAGACATGAGTATGAGTAAACTCCAAGAGATAGGGAAGGACAGGGAAGCCTGGCATGCTGCAGTCCATGAGGTCACAAAGTGTCAGACTTGACTGAGCAACTGAACAGTGAACAAATGAAATGAAAAGTCTCCGCCACAGTGTTTGACTGAGGGCACAATATTTTTTTCTCCTATGGAAGAAATTATGAAATTCTGTCACTAACAATGCATCCAATAGAAGGAAGAAAGATAATCCTTAATATTAGCCTGCTGTTAAATATAAAATATATCACTGGTCAACAGTAAGTCCATAAGACTTCAGGTACAAAATGAGGAAAAATTTTTACTAGGACCTAAATGGAAACTGGAAGCATTGATATGAATTATTTAATGTGAAGTTGTCGGGGAGTTGCATGCTATTATTTCATATTCAATCTGTGACATTAAGAGACCTCTAATTCCTATTTTATGTTGCTCTATGTCAGGTTGTACTATTTCAGCTACCAATTTTGACTACAAATGCTGCTTTATTTATCTGAAGACCACCAGCCTAACAATTTGAATTAAGAGGTCCTCTTCAATGACACATGTAGGTGCCAAAAGTGAAGACTTGCTGAGTGGTCAAGTCTCTTTCTAATAAATGCACTTGTTTTGTAACCCCACTCAAAGTCTTTCAATCTTCAAGAAACTCTCTTATTACAGGCTTTCAAGTCACTAAACAATGCCCACAAAACTAAGGAACCTGACTTGGGGTTCCAGTGCTGTAACTACAAAAGAATGGCACTCCTGTGCAAGATAATAAGTCGTGGTGAAGAAATCAGGACCCCTGTGTACTGCGGGTGGGGTGATATGATAGTGCAACTGCTATGGAAAACAGTATAATATTTCCTCATAAAATTAAAAATAGAACCAAAATATGATCCAGCACTACCCCTTCTGCGTATAAAACAAAAAGATTTGGAGCCAGGGATTCAAAGAGATGTTTACACACGCACATTCACAGCAGAATTATTCATAGTAATCAACAAGTGGAAGCAATCCAAATGTCCAACAAGGGATGAAATGTATAAACAAAATATGGTGTATAAATATATATATATATGTATGTATGTATATATGTATATACATACACACACAATGGAATATTATTCAGCTTTAAAATGGAGGGAAATCCTGTGATTTCCTTGTTACAACATGGACGAATCTAGAGGACATTATACTAAGTGAAATAAGCCAATCACAAAAAGACAAATACAATGTGATTCCACTTGAATAGGTGGCATTAATTTTAGCTTCACTTGAGATACCATGGTGAAAACAATCTGGTCTTTGTGCTATTTTTCTGCTGGTTTTAGATATCAGGCTAAAAGTCTATACACCTTTACAAAATACTTTCAATTGTTCCATTCATCAATGCCTCACGTACCCAGTGCTGTATATAATATATATGTCACATATTATCTGCCATTGCCCCATTGCTAGTTATATTCAGAGAGACTATAAAGTAAGTTCACAACTATAAAAATAAAATTAGCCAATTAAGGACAATTTAGAAGTGTTCTAATATAGTGTTTGCTTAAGTAGCTTGCCTGATTTCATCTGAAATAAGCTAAGAAAGAGGGCAAGTAACTCTGCTATATAAACCTGTCTTTAGCTTCAAAGATTTTAAGCCTAATCTAAGCAAAACACAAACAGAATCACAAAATTCTGTATATACATGTATTTTCTGGAGAGCTTCATAACTTTAATCTGATTCCTAGAGGAATCCGTGATCCAAAGAAACACTGAGAACCACCGAGATGAAGTAAATCTAGCTCTAAGTTATACTATAGGTTCAAAAAATTTTAGCTTATTAAAACAGAGGCATAGTTGACCTACTTCTGAAGATATTTCTGAAAATGATACTGGTTCCACTGTTAGGAACCAGGTGAAGGCCTTACCCTGGTTAACCCTGATCTAGTGGGTAGGATAAAGTCTTATTTTGTCCTTATATCCCCAGTGCCTAGTATATCAAGCCTGACATGAAGCAGGCTCTCAAAAGATATTTGCTGAATGGTGCCCTAACAGGCGTTAAACAAATCTGTTTAACTAGGGAGGCAGCCCATGGTAAAATGACTTACTAGGCTGTCTCCAGGATACTTTCAAGTTATGTACATTCTGCCCCGAGGATGGTATTTGTGCAAACATAGAAGTCTTCTTACCCACAGCTGTATAAAGAGAAATAAGCTGAACTTCCAAAGGATTTACTTATTCTTTTCTCTCCTTTATAGATTACAGTAAAGCCCTAGCAACCACTGTAGTGGTTCAGCTGGTAAAAAATATCTGCCTGCAATGTGGCAGACCTGGGTTTGATCCCTGGGTTGGGAAGATCCCCTGGAAAAGGGAAAGGCTACCCACTCCAGTATTCTGGCCTGAAGAATTCCATAGACTGTATAGTCCATGGGGTCACAAAGAATCAGACATGACTGAGCAACTTTCACTCACTCAGTGAATAACATCAGTAGTCTTCCAAACTGAGCACTTGATATCTTGAGAGCAGTAGTTGAGGAAGTAACCAAAAGTTAATCACTTTCATCTACTTTTTGCAAAATGTTTTGAAAGCCCATTTTCACCTCCTGTTCTATAGCCTTGAGAGGTTCAGGGCTACTTCTGACCTGGGAATAGGGAAAGATTATAAAAGAGAAAAAAAATTCATATATTTACTAGGTGTCAGCATATGTCTAAGTATCTTTGGCTTGTGCTACCTCTCAGGATAACAAGGTCCATCTC